GATGATGATGCGTGATAGTGGTGTACCACCTATTGTAGCACACAAATTCAGTGGGCTCTCTTCTCTGTTTGTCTTGATCAAGCTGATTGTCCTCAACATGTCGCTGTATGAAGGGCCAAAAATAGATTAGTTGGATCGATAGGGAAAGTCGTCTATACGCATCTACGGAACAGTAAAGAATCTACTTCCTGCAACATGATCGCACAATTGGTTAAGAAGACGCCCCAAAACAGGAAGATGCCGCAATGAGTGGGGACAAGAGCCCGCCCTTTATCCACGAAATGCTATCAACACGTAGTTGGCATTCCCACTCTCCCCGTCCAAATTGCTTCATTCGGGTACCCTGATGGTCCCCCCAATCCCATAATTGTTTTGACGTAGGACTACGACTGTGATTTCTATATGGGGGTACATATTGTGTAAACCGAGACAGAAACATGTAACGAAATAATGAAAGATGTTGAACGTTAATAACTCAGCTGCCTCTGGACCAATTTCAATAATTTTATCACCAACTGATCTAAAATACTTCTACGCATCGAAATGCTTTCGACTGTTGATTTTCAACAAGAAACTATTGAAAAAGTGGTAAAAGTTAAGCATTGTCCAAAAGCATCGAAATAACTATCAAATCCACCAATTACGTACATGCATATGCTGCTTCCCCAACACAGTCATCAGAGAATCGTTTCTAGACGAAACATGTCGAAGTGGCAATCGCCTCTGATCTTCGGGCGTGTTTGAATAGGGAGGATGCATTTGCGTAACATTTTGCACACTCATCGCCATATTCAGAACCACACGGCTCCAACGACCACACAAAATGCTCTCCAGAGTTGTAATATTGTAACCAAACTTGGAAGCAAGGGTGCAAGTGATTTTGATCGATTCTCTTCATCGACTTTCTGTTTCGTTAATAACTCTACGGCAAACACATTCATTGATACGTTTGTTGTTCTGGATGATAGAAGAGCATAGCAGAAATAGTGTGAAATAGGTTAGGAAATCGATGAAGAGAATTGATTTTCACCCCTATGCTTCTAAGTCTCTTAATTCAGTCATCGTCATAGCAATGGAAACTTTGGTCCTTGGGTTACACTTGCTGGTTGCAATTCTGCTGTTCGATATTTTCGATGGACCACAAAAAAAAACATGAAATTCCATTATTTTCAAGGGATGTCTAAAAGTTCAATTATTCGATTAACGATTGATTGTAAAGCTTTGTCTTGCTATTCAATTAAATATATCGAATTTTCAATTATTTGAGCGCGTAACCGACATCTTTGCTTATTTCTACTCGTTTGATTTAGCGCAATAGAGAAAATAAATAAAAGTACTAATTTATCTGTACAAGCTTAAAGAAGAACCATGACGTGAAACTAAACAGGATCATAAATTAACCGAAAAAAGCGTTAAGCGTCTTTCTGATAAAGGCTAAGTTTTACCAACTTGTTGAGCGAAGGAGTTTAACGAGAAAAACTAAAAAGGGGAGGAGCTTTATCAGGGTGGACACTGTTATACAGCGGCCTTCCAACCTGTCGCAGACACCAGATCAACCCCTGTCAAGCAGCAGAAGGGCCGAGACTCTTGCGAGTGCCCAAAGAATATGGGATTGTCTGGTCCGATTTGCTGATCCAGCTGCGTACACGTCTTCATCATCTTCCAAAGGCTTTAAGCCTGTACAACCATCGGCCCTTTTCAGGTCCACCAAAATTTTCCAGAAGAGTTAAATTTCCGAACATGTCCCAACTAAAATTCACATCGAAAGGTTCTTTTCAGGACAATCATAGTCATACTAAAGAGTATAAACAGAAAGAACCCCGCTCAAATTCCTACTCCTACACAAAACACAAGCTCCTGCTGCAGTTAACAAATAACATTCATTATATAAGACCACGTAGTCCTACGTCACCATTGCGTACAACCCCATAGGGCTGTCCCTTGTAGTTTTGTATACATATGAGCAATAATAAAAATTAAAAATTTTAAACAATCTTATCAATTTTCGTGGCTATTTGTGAACTCTGTATCACTGCTAGTCTTCCGAAAGTCTCCCAAAAGTCTCCCATGTTATCTACGATATTTCAACGTCCATTATCTTTGTATGATGATCTTGAGTTCCTAGTTGCGTCTTATAAAACCGTAACACCAGTGCGGAAAATAGATAGTGTCTCTGGGTATTTTCTGAACGAGTATCACTCCATTGTCGTATCGCATGTGCTTCATTTTACAGCTCTTCTTTCACTTTTAATTTATTGACTCAATGGTACCGGAAAATATATAGATTTCTACATTATTAGCAATGCTGTGATATGATATAACTACAACGGAATGGCCGTTCAGAATGGTTCAATGGATGTGAAATGATGGAAAATTGAAAATTTAACGTTATTTAAAGTATTCCAATGCAACATTTAATTCATCGACTAACAATCAACACTTTTTTCAAGATCGTAACTAATTTCTGGAAACATTAACTTGTATTTTATATAATTAATATCAATGTTCCTTCATTCCGTATATTCAAGTGATCGTCGAAAGCGCCACATTTTATTGAGGCTCTTTGGAACTATAGGGTAAATGGCTTTAATGTTGGCCTATGGAAAATCTACTATTTGTCAATTTTGAGACGGTACTAATCGATGTTTTTTGACGCTTTTGAAAATTTAGTCGATTGCTGAATTTATGTATGGGCCCAAATTAGGGGCATTTAGGCCAAATTTACATCCAACTTCCCGATGTGGAGAAATATAAAATGCACCTTTTAAAGTGAATTGCACATAACAATGTCCAGTGCCATAATTTACTCACACATGAAATCTGCCTCGACCAATCGGACAGAATGCGCCCTTACCCTCACTGAACCAAAGGGCATGACGATTGATTTTAATGAATTTTTATGACCAAAAGTTGATGTTCTACAATGTTTGTCAATTTTCAAGTTTCCATAGGGTCCAAATAAATTTCATTTTTATGAGGTTTTTTTTTTAATAAAAAAAAAGATGTGTGATATACAGTCAACTCTCCACAACTCGATATTCTAAAATTCGATATTTTCTATAACTCTATGGATGCTGCCGTCCCTTCATTTTCCCATCTATAGATCTGTGCATAAGTCAATATTTCTCAAAGTCGATGCCTCGTTTGTTCGATGATCTATGTAGTGTTAGTTTGATTCTAATACAGGTATACCTCGATATGACGTAAGTGCCACTTTTGACTTCCATCGCTGATTTGTCGTAAACGATCATTTAAACAAGCAAAGTAATATTACCATCGGACAGATGAGATAATCCCCCATCTATTGGTAATACTAATTTGTATGATTCAATTGCTATTACCGAGATATTCATGATGGAAATCAAAAGTGACAATTACGTTATATCGAGGTATACCTGTATGTCTAAATTCCTGGATGTTTCTGGTGTTTCAGGGAAATGGTCCGTACCTTTAATTTATGCCAGGACCTATCATGAGATATAGCAAACAGGTTATATTGAATGCTCAGGGCAGATGCTGGGTTATTAGGCTGAAGGTCAGTAGGTCGAATGGGTGCTAGGCCGAATGGTCATTAGGCCGAATGGTCACTAGGCGGAGCGGTTATTCCGGATAAAAATCTTAACCCTTGTGACGAAAAAGAGAATAACCAGCAAATAATAGGATTAATAAGACTATTTCATATTGCCGGACGCTGGACGTCCGGCAGAATGGGCACTAGAGTGATGAAAAATTTGAAATTTTCGCTCCACAATACTATATCCTGACTAACCTCTCAAAATTTAAACCCATTTGGTGAGAAACTGAGATGGCACAAACCATTTGAAGTTTGTATGGGAATTACTATGGAAAAACCAAGATTTTTGTTCATGTCCATTTTATAATTCACCATATCGGTCTTCTTCAAAAGCTTTCAATTGTACTTATAGGAAATTCCCAGCTATAACTTTGCTGAAGACCATTTTTTGATTAAATGCAAGGATCGAAAGTTATCAATGGTTCAATGCGCTGTTGTCTTATGATAATGCTCAATCAACTGCCCTGCAGGCAACATTGGTGTTTCTGGGGCGTTGAATAGGACACAAAAATCATGGCTACTATGTCACACTGCAAAATACAGTGTTGCCTACAGAGCAGCTGCTTGATCATGTCATAAGTTTACCAATCTCTTAAATAATTAATAACTGTTTCCTGTCTCGTTTTACATAGAAACGATCTTCAGAAAAGTTGTAGCTCAGAAAATTTTCTATAAGAATGGCTATCGAACTGTTTCGCAGCTCAATATGGAAAAAGACTAGAAGACAATGAACAAAAAGTTGAGATTTCCCATAGTAATTTACATGTAAACTTCAAATGGCTTGTGCGAAGTCTGTTTCTAACCAAATGAGTTGTAGCTTTGGGAGGCTAATCAGGACCCGATTTGAAACCATTTAAGCACTGTGGAGCGAAAAAGTCAAATTTTGCATCAGTCTAATGGGCACGTAAAGCTTAAGCTCTATACAAAACTAAAAAAAACATTATTATTATTATTATTTATCTTTATTAAGGAGGCTTTCAGCTGGTTCGCCTCAAAAAAAAAAAAAAAAACATTATGAAACAGTGGTTAAAGCTCTCCTGCTGATCTTTTTAATTTTGAGTTGATATAGAGTGTATCAAAGAACTTCACTCTAGGCATCGTAGCAACGAATAGACATCTACTATACTGACTCGTAAAGGGTGTCCACGATGAAATTGCCACACACAAAATTGATTCGCAAAATTCGAGTTTTCATCCGATTGCCATCAAATTTTCAGGGATTGAGAAATAACTATTAAACTTCATTTTACCATTTTACTCGTATTTTATTTACAGTCCATACGCAAATGCCCGCACCTTGGCCTTAACCCCGGCCATAAGATTCTGCACAACCTGTGAATCAACCGTTTTTTGCATGTAAACCCATACTTTCTTCAGTTCCTCGACTGTCTTCACTACCTTAGGTCGTTTAAGAAGGTGCTGCTTCATAATCGCCCAGTACTTCTCGATGGGGCGGAGCTCCGGAGTGTTGGGAGGGTTGAACATTTTCGGCACGAAATTGACCTTATTGTCCGTCCGCATACCACTTCAGCACGTCCTTGGAGTAGTGGCATGAGGCCAAATCCGGCCAGAAGATTGTTGGGACGTTGTGGGCCTTCAGGAGAGGAAGCAGCCGCTTCTGGAGGCACTCTTTTATGTACACCTGTCTGTTCATCGTGTCCTGGGTCACGAAAGGTGCACTCCGCTTCCCGCACGTGCAGATGGCTTGCCAAACCAGGAATTTCTTCGCAAATTTGGACATCTTCTGAGTGCGGAGATGCTCCGGAACGCTGAACTTATCCTTGGCCGTGAAAAACAGGTTGCCGGGGATCTGTTTGAAGTCGGCCTTCACATATGTTTCGTCGTCCATGATGCAGCATTCAACTTTCGTCAGCATGTTGAGGTACAACTTCCTGGCACGGGTTTTGGCGGACTTGTTCTGCTTCTCTTCGCGATTAGGGGCCTTTTGTACCTTGAACGTTCGAAGCCCAGCCTTAGTTTTGGCCTTCTGGACAAAACTTCGGCTTAGGTGCAGCTTCTTAGCCACATCCCTAACGGAGGCGTTCGGATTTCGGTTGAAGGCCCCAACTACGCGGTTGTGATTTTTGGTGTTGTACGGAATACTTTTTCCTTCACTTCTGGGCTTCCGATCGGTGGTCAACCGTTCCTCGAACCGCTTAATCACTCGCGACACCGTGGAATTCGCGATTCCCAACGTTTTAGAGATGGAACGATGCGAGAGATCCTTGTTCTCGTGATGAATGCGCACGATTTTATCACGCACGAGCTGTTCTTTCGACTCCATTTCCGCGAGTTTTGATCACAGGACTTTAAAACTTGCAGGATGTAAATAATGCACTATGAACTAAATCCACCCAAATTTTCATTAAATTCTACCCAACGGTTAAAAAGTTAGAGCAATTTCATAGTGTGGCAATTTCATCGTGGACACCCTTTACTACCTGCGAATGAGTAGTGGTCATAGTGTGGTCATAGTGGTCATCAGATTGGTCAATGCTTATGACAATGAAAACAATAAGTTTCTATTTTTCCTTCAGTGTCCATCTTCTAGCGCTTTTCCCCTACGTTTTACATATGTCAAATATGCCAAGTAACAATTTTGGTTTAATGAGGGTTCTGTAAACCATACTTTATACTTGTAGAATGCTCTAAAACCTCGTTAAAATTTGTTCAGTCCAAACGGGCTAAAATTTAATTATAAAATTTTAACGGAGTTAGTTTAATACCTTAAAGTATTAAACTAAATATTTATAACAATTCTCATTTCCCGAATAGAATAATCATTTATAATCTTTTTCTTTAACGAAAAATCCATAAAAGTTCTCGTTCGTTGGCTGCATGATCTTCCCTAAGAAATAACAACACTTCCGATAAGCAAAACATATCTAATGCCAATTTCCTTTTTTTCTCTCCCCCGCAATCGCAGGAAGCATCTACCGAAGAGGTGCCAGGAGATGGCGAAAGCTGTACCGAATAAATGGACACATATTCCAGGCGAAGCGATTCAATCGGGTAAGTTCAATAGAAAAAAAATACGGCTACGAGAATAAACAGACTCAAAATATGAGCAGCCTCTTCTTTCATAAATAACTAACCTGCAGGGCCGCTTAGGTCTGGCTGCTGCTGCTGCTGCTGTTGCTTCTTTGATCCGGTTAGATAAGAAGGCTGTTGTAATCAATTTTTAATCATTTCTGCCGAAAGCAGCTTGCGTGGGATTCCTCTCCGGGCAGAAGCTTTCAGCGCTCTCACCCTTTTTCAGAAGGAATATGGATTTTGATGAAGGTTGAAGGTCAAAGCAAATGAATGACAGAAGTCATTTTCCGGAATGGAGCTATTTTGGGAGTGGTGCTTCACTGAAAATAAATTTTTTTTGATTTTTCCCGCAACTATTTTTCCATTCCGATTGTTTAAGGGCTGCTCATATTTTGCGTGTCATTGTTACTATTTAAAGCTATAATTTTACGGGTGCGTTATATATTTTTATTTCTTTTCCATTGCATCTACTCTTTTTTTTACGCCATCTAAATTTCTTTTTTTTTTCGATATTCATATGAAACTAACTGATATCAAAATGTCAAAAAAATATTTAAAAAAATATGGTACCTACAAAAAAAAATCGGAAAAAGAAAGTTGTAAAAATGTACCGGTTGGGTGTACTTTTGCTACTGTTTTCAAATGTTCATTAAAAATTGCGTGTTTCATTATTTTTTTTTTTGTCTTATTTGACATATAGAATTGTTTTTTTTGTTTTGTTTCATCATCGATCGTGTTCATTTTTTTGAATAACTTTTTTTCATTACGTGACGATTTTTTTTTGTTCGTATGATCTTCGCTGATTGTAAACTATAATTATTGACATTAAATACTCACCGTGAAATGCATTCTAATTTCTCCACCTTTTTTCCCAACCCTCCCATTTCAGAAAGCCTTTTGCGCGTTCTGCCACGACCGCATCTGGGGCCTCGGTCGACAGGGCTTCAAGTGCATCCAGTGCAAGCTGTTGGTGCACAAAAAGTGCCACAAGCTTGGCAACAAACCGTGCAGCAACGAACATGTGGAACCGGTGTTCAAGGAGCGTGATGTAAGTAGCTACTCCCCCTTTTTTCGGGTGGTGGTTTGTTGAATCAATGTATATGTAAGCCAAGGGTTCAAGTGAGTGATTGGCTGAGACCGCGACAATGCGGAAGAAATGCCGAAGAATTTTGCGGAAATCGATGTTAGGTGTAATTGAATTCCACACCGAGCTGAAATTGTGACAAGTTCAATCTGTGTGTTTTTTTTTTCTCATTCGTTGATTTCCAAGCTGCGGTATGCAGTCTTCCCTAGCGTCTCTGATTGAGGTTCAAATGCCAAAACCCGTTTGGCACTGCTGAGTTGAAGTCGTTGCGAAGATTTCGCTTCGTTTTTCTTGTGAGACGGAAATTGAATTCAACGTTTTGCCTCATCCGCCTCGTCCTCCTCCTCCGAGGTGGTCTAACTTTTCTAGCGAAAGGAAGTAAAATTTAACTTTTTTATATTTGCTACTTTTCCGCCCCTGCAATGCCACAGACATCCCACCATCCGGACTGTTAGTACACGGGTTGAAAACGAGCGCAAGATTCATTTTTACCGCAGGGAAAAACAAATTGAAGCAATGAATGAGGTAGAAGTCGCCGGAATGGGTGCCGGCGCGAGAATTGGGGTGTTTTTTTCGAGAAATGTTTCGAACAGTTTTTTTTTAAATTAGATTACTTAACTGTTTCTACTGATGGTTCGATTTCTGTTCTTTTCTAAATGCCGGTGTAATTTTGTCATTATTTGATGTCTTGAGCATTTTTTTAATTATTTATTAGAGAGATTTTTAACCGGCTGCTTGTTCATCTCTTTGAGAAGTTCCACGCAAAATGACGAATAGATCAGACGCGAATTTCTTCAATAAGCATGAAACATTCCACAATTGTTTGTTTTTGGTGTTTGCGAAAATTCGGTCGTTCTGTAGCTTGCAAAACAATTCAAATTGGCGAAATATATATTTTTCAACAAATCATAAATCGAAAATTTCAATTCCAGTCAAAATGAAGCCTGAGGCAAAGTCTTAGGAAAATTAATTTAATTTCAGGAAAATATGTTGTAAAATAATGCTGAGTTAAAATATTAAAAAAAGATATAGGAATTTATTTTTTGTTACAATATTTTAAAACATTATTTTGGATTTTTAACCACAATTTACTTAAATTTTTTTATCGAGTATATTTTTTACTGAAAAGTAATTATTTTTACGACTACTTTGTCTCAGACGTCATTTCGATAGGAATTGACGTTTCCGAGTTATGATATGTCGCAAATTATCGAATACGCCTTTTTGATATTTTTGCAAGATTCAAAATGGCCTAGTTTAAGCTCAAACGTGAATGATTGACCATAACAAACAATCAAGCAAAGTTTTATGCAAATTGGAGAATATCGAGTCTGAAATGTATTTACTTTTCTTATTTGACCTGGAAATGCTCGTTTTTGAATTCAATTTTTTCGAATATGAATTTGAATTTCAGTATTGAGCAGTTCCAGGCCAATTAGCGAAATAATAAAAAATAATACCTCTCAGAACTCCTTAAACTAGGCCATTTTGGCTAACGCTTATTTTTCAAAATGGCGTGTTCGACTTTTTTCAATAAATCATAGCACGAAAACGGTTCATGCAATCGAAATGACATCTGAAACAAAGTTGTAGGAAACTGGTAGGATTTCATAAGGCTGAAGCAAAATTTGATATTTTCGCTCCACAGTGCCCACGATTCCAAATCGGGTTCTGGTTAGCCTCACAACATTTGAGCTCATTTTGGTAAGAAACAGACTTGGCACAAACCATTTGAAGTTTATATGGGAATTACTGTGGGAACCCAAGTAACAATTTCGGTTTTATCATAGTTTTATAAGACTTAGAATAGACTAGTAAACCATAATTAAACCTGAAATGTTACTTTGGAAAGCTAAACTTTCTAGCCTACTTCGTCCATTATGGTCTGATGAAAAGTTCTGTAGCTATTTTGATCGCTAGCTAATTTTCTAGGAGGCTGATCAGTACCCAATTTGACGCCGTTTGAGCACTGTGGAGCAAAAATTAAAAAATTTACATCTCTCTAAAGCAGCAGGCCTTGCTTTTTCAATTGTTGAATGAATGGCGATGAACATGTTTAAAGCAGCATTTTGTTTGTTTCTCATTCATGCTGGGCCGAAATTAATAATGATGAAGAAAATTGACTAGAATGATGCCATTGAATATCCAGAGACCACGCCCGACCCGACGTTGGGCAGCGCTGCTCTAAAACACACTAGCGCTGCGTATTAAAAAAACAAAATCGAACTAGTATGTCACCAGACCTTAGCAAATAAAATTGCTATGGTTATTTAGCTTATCCAAGTAACATTGCAAGTTTTATGGAGGTTTTAAAGCATTCTACAAGTCTAAATCATGGTCTACAGAACCCTTATAAAACCGAAATTTTCACTTGGGTAACGACGTTTTCCGGGTATTTTAAAACCATTTTTGGAATACTTCTATCATTTAGGTTTTAATTCGTTTATGGTATTTTTTTTATTAGGGTTGATCTTCTGAACTTTTTTTCTCAAACACAAAAAACTTCTAGTTGATCAGGCCCTCGAAATATGTAACGGAAGTTCACACGCACATAACACGAATTCTGAACAAATATGTCCACCACCCGAATAACATTGGCCTCGTGGTCGACTTTTCGGAAGACGATAGTTTTCAAATTATCAAGAATTTTGAGTTCTATCTCATACACACTAGCATCGCGTCGTGAGAGAGCTTCAAACTGATTTGACCTGTGACGGTAAAATAACAATAAGTTATACCTTTTTGGATTTTAAAAGCTCGTCAAGCATCAATGTTTTCCTCTACAAGTTTAGTTCATCCCAAAAAGAACCATTGTAGAAGCTTACTACTATGGTATTTTTGGCGCAATTCCTTCGAAATTTCCCTAAGAATTTCCTTGGAATCCTCCATAGAATTTATGTATTATTATTCTGAGGATTCGATTCCTTAGAAAATATCAAAAACTCTGCGCAGGAATGTGTAGACTCTAGTATGTATTGACTAGACTTGGCTAGACTAACCATTCCTCAGGTATACTCCTGAGTCTATTTCTTTGGAAATCATCCTCAGAGCACCCTTTTTTTACTAGTTCGTTTATTTGGAAGGCTCAATCGCGTTAGCCTTACGGAGCCGATAGTTCATTGTTCTTTGTTTGTAACAAAATTCACTTAATTCTATGTCTAGTAGGAGTTGGGCCGAATACTTGCGGCTTACCCGAGGTTAGAGAGGTACATTGTCGAAGGATTGGATCAGGGGAGGAGCTTGGGGGTAAGGTTTCGTTGGCTCATCAGAGCGTTGTCGCCAGTATGAACGGTAGTGCGGTTCTAGAATTCGATTTGCAGAAACACATAAACCGACTGCATATAGCAGATATCGCGAGTTCTCAACACGTCTCTGATAGGAACATAGGGTTGTCTTCCTTGGGCCTCAAGGGTATTCAAAAGTAGCTCTCTGGCGGCGTCATTATGCGTACATTGCCAAACTGCGTGATCGATGTCATCGCAACCGTTTCCACACCGACAGATGTTGCTGTCCACGAGGATTACTCTATTGAGATGAGCATCTAGCGAGTAGTGGTTGGACATAAGTCTACTCATGACGTGAATGAAGTCACGACTTTATGCCAAGCCTTTAAACCACGCTCTCGAAGATTGAATAATAACTGAATAATAATTGAATGTAACCACCAGGCTGCTCAGTCAGTTTTAAAGCTGCTTATAATTCTAATTGAATTTTCGCCAATTAATTATCATTAAATTTCATATGACATTCTTCTCACAACCTCCATTATCTCTGAATTATGTTGGAATTCTGATTGGAACTCCCTTATGATGTTTGCCAGAATGTTGTGGGGATTCTTCGCAACATTTCTCTTGAATCTATACTTTAATTCCTTCTCAATAATCCTAATCGTTCATTAGTTATTCTACTCAGAATTATATAGATTTTTTTAAATAGTGGAGCCTTGAACATTCTTCCAAGTTGCAGACTTTGAAAAGGCCTTCTTGGACAAATTGACATTTTAAGTCTTGTTGTAAATCCCATATTCAAAACAAAAATTTCTAAATTTTAGAAGATTTTTATAAATTTTAAAACTTTGTAGAGAAAAAAATCATAGCCTAATGCTCCTTACAAATGTCGAAGCCTCAGAATCTTCGTATTTTTAATCCCATTGGCGTGTTCCAACATTTTATTACTTCGGGATCTCCAGTAATTTTCCCTTTAACTCATATTTATAAAATCCCCCTCTCTTTAAGATTCGCTTTAACGACCCATTGAACTCAATAGTGGTCGGCTTAGCGACCATACAAATATTCCATGACTAAATTGCTCAGTAAGTGAAGTAATGAAACAGCAAAAAAGGTTATCTTCCATTTAATTCCACTTAATTAATTTTGGTATCCATGACAATTAATTAAGTGGAATTAAATGGAAGATAACCTTTTTTGCTGTTTTATTTAGCATTCCGCTAACAACCCAATTTCATTACTTCATTATGATGGCTACCAAGCCTTTGGGGATTTTCCTTATTAGAGAGTTGCATAGATTTGTCTCCTTTAGCTTACTTAAATCTTTGGTTTTTATTAGTTAGGTAGGTTCCGATTCAACACATTGTAGTTTCATAAAGGGTGTCCACGATGAAATTGCCACACTATGAAATTGCTCTAACTTTTTAACCGTTGGGTAGAATTTAATGAAAATTTGGGTGGATTTAGTTCATAGTGCATTATTTACATCCTGCAAGTTTTAAAGTCCTGTGATCAAAACTCGCGGAAATGAAGTCAAAAGAACAGCTCGTGCGTGATAAAATCTTGCGCATTCATCACGAGAACAAGGATCTCTCGCATCGTTCCATCGCTAAAACGTTGGGAATCGCGAATTCCACGGTGTCGCGAGTGATTAAGCGGTTCGAGGAACGGTTGACCACCGATCGGAAGCCCAGAAGTGAAGGAAAAAGTATTCCGTACAACACCAAAAATCACAAC